CATCAGGAAGATAACGGCGCTCCACAGTTCTCAGCGCGGCTGCCGGGAAGTGTGGGCCATGTGAGGGCTCATCTGTGAAATCACTATTGTTTCAGTCTTTCAGGGAGGAGCTGGAGAGCCTTATCCAAGAGCAGATGAAGAAAGGGAACAACTCTTCCAACATCTGGGCCCTCCGGCAGATCGCAGACTTCATGGCCAGCACTGCTCCCTCTGTCTTCCCCACGTCTCCACTCAGTATGTTGGTTCAAAACCTTTCTCACAGGGGGTAAGGGTCTGCATGGGAGAAGAGGCCTGCATCGCTGCTGGGATACCAGCTTGGGGCAAGGCAGGGATTGCAAAGACACGGGCTTTAGGCAAGTGCTGCCGAAGCAGGGAGGCTGGGATTTTCAAAGGAGTTAGATTTCAGCTGGATTTGCCAGCCTCACTTCTTACTGCCTCCGTGGAACATCTAAGCACTGCTTTCTTCTTTTCTGTGGGGAGCTGTTCAAATACCTTGGAGGTTCCCATAAGAGGGTACCTTGGGTTGGACATCTTTGGGCAACTCAGCTCATCAATCTCTTTCACTGTCCAGCTCTAAAAAGCAATGGGTTTTAGCTGCCTTTCTCCAATGGCTGTTGTGGGGGTGCACTCATGCTAGGAAACTTGCTGTCAAGTCTCCCAGATCCTTTAGTGAGGGGTAGACTGTGTGAGTGACCTGTGAAGATCAGGGATGAGGAATCTGCCAGTCAAGATAATAGATAAAAGCTGAGGCTGTGGGGGAAGGCAGGTGATACATGGTAGCCCCATGGCCTGGAATGCTTCCTAGCTCTGAAAAGCTCTGTGCCTTTTCCCAGTGACCTCCTTAGACCTATTCACCTCAGTGGTTTTCCCTTTCTTCTTCAGATCTGTCCACAGTAACACCCATCAATGACCTCCATGGCACCGACTCCATGTCCTTAGTGAAAGGAGAGAGGCTCATGAGGTGCAAGATCAGCAGCATCTACCGACTGCTAGACCTCTATGGCTGGGCCCAGATCAGCAGCACCTACGTCACGGTGAGGTCATGCCTCAGTTTAGCTGACGGTGATTTAGGCTTTCTCAATAGCTGGAACTTGACTGCACACTCTGCCCAGCAGCCCTGCTTCTATTGTGCAGGGCTCAGTTAAATATGTAGACTTTTTTTTGTCTTCTGGTTACCAGGGTGGACCAGATCAGGATAGGAGGAAGTAAAGAACATGAGGGTTCTGCGAGCAAGGGGCTGCTTTCCGATTCTCTGTGAGAGCCCTTGGGGTCAGGTGTGTCTGGTCTCATGCTATATCTTGTGGCTAGCCTGAAAATGCAACATTTGACACAGTGCCAGGGCTGGTATCTTGTCAAAAGCAGCACATAGCATTTAGGAGAAAGGGAAGAGAAAAACCCCTGCAATCCTACAGCATTGAAACATAGGGTCAGCAATTTGATCTTGTCAATGGGAATTAAGGGTGCCAGTGCATTCTCTTCTGGCACCTGCCAGTGATCATATATGCCCTACTTCAGTTGAGCCTGATCTTGGCTTGGACAGAGGATCAGAAATCATCCAGCACTGACTTCCCTGTTCTGCCTCTACCCAGTAGGGAACTGTGTTCCCTTCTATGCCATTCAATAACCAGAATGGGCCAGATGAGTGGGTGTACATTTTTGCTTGTCCACTGTCTACAGCAGAACTCTACTGCCTTACATCCAACAAAAAACTAGGCCAGAGGTGACTAGTGACCACTAGATGCAAAAGAGACATGTAGTGAAATGCACAGAACCTGCCAAAAATGCCATTTCCCATTATCTCTGTGATCAAAGACTGCTTAATCTGTTGGCTCCAGCACAGCCACATGGTATGTGACCAAGGAATGCACTGTATTGTTCTCAAATTTCTCTCTGCCACTGACCTCCTTTTTATTTCTGCCCCTATTACAATCTGTTAAACATTTTTTTCCTCCCCACGATGACCCAAGACTGGGTCAGTCAAGTCTGACTCCCTCGCTGGTCTGAGATCCAAATTCAACAGGATGGAATCTCAGATACTGGAGGATGGACAGTGAAATGCAGATGACAAGAAATGGTACTAGGGGTTGCTTTATTATCATACGATATTTGTAACTTCCTACGAAACTCTTCTTTGTATTACTGTTGTCTTGCTTGGGCCGAGGTGCTGTCAGATCTCACAGGCTAGGCAGCACTAGGACAGAATGCAGTTCAACAAGGAGAAATGCAAAGTGCTGCACCTAGGGAGGAAAAATGTCCAGCACACCTACTGCCTAGGAAATGACCTGCTGGGTGGCACGGAAGTGGAAAGGGATCTTGGAGTCCTAGTGGACTCCAAGATGAACATGAGTCGGCAGTGTGACGAAGCCATCAGAAAAGCTAATGGCACTTTATCGTGCATCAGCAGATGCATGACGAACAGATCCAAGGAGGTGATACTTCCCCTCTATTGGGCGCTGGTCAGACCTCAGTTGGAGTACTGCGTGCACTTCTGGGCACCGCACTTCAAGAGGGATGTGGATAACCTGGAGAGGGTCCAGAGAGGGGCCACACGTATGGTTAAGGGCTTGCAGACCAAGCCCTACGAGGAGAGACTAGGGCATCTGGACCTTTTCAGCCTCCGCAAGAGAAGGTTGAGAGGCGACCTTGCGGCTGCCTATAAGTTAATCACGGGGGCACAGAAGGGAATTGGTGAGGTTTTATTCACCAAGGCGCCCCTGGGGGTTACAAGAAATAATGGCCACAAGCTAGCAGAGAGCAGATTTAGACTGGACATTAGGAGGAACTTCTTCACAGTGAGAGTGGCCAAAATCTGGAATGGGCTCCCAAGGGAGGTGGTGCTCTCCACTACCCTGGGGGTCTTGAAGAGGAGGTTGGATAGGCATCTAGCTGGGGTCATCTAGACCCAGCACTGTTTCCTGCCTATGCAAGGGGTCGGACTCAATGATCTATTGAGGTCCCTTCTGACCCTAAAGTCTATGAATCTATGAAAGGACAGGTCAATGGCCAGGTGAGAGCTATCTTAAGTGTCTGCAATGAGCAATATAACTTCGGACAATGGGAGAGGTGGTGGTGGTGGTGACGGAGGCAAGGTCGTGCTGTAAGCAAGGGAGGGAGCACTGTGACTCTGGTGGCAGTGCCATCTATTGAATGAGAGAGAGA